GAAACCCCCACGAGAGACCCCCCAGAGTCAGTGTTCGAAACCTCTCGAACCGTCGCGTGAGACTGCCTGAATCGGTATGAGAAACCCGCGGTAGTTTCTCTGGGGGGTTCGAGGGGTCTCTCACAGGTGTCGCTGTATCTCTTACTGAATTTTATCGGTGTTTCTCGCGGCACCGGGGGTTTCTTAGGGGGCACGAAGGAATGCTGGTGAACAGTAGGAATGTTAATTACTGGATTTTGCTTTTCTCTTGCAAAATTTTGAACAAAGTTACATGTTTCCTTTATATAATAAATCTGAATGTTATAATTAATTGTCAAATATTTAATAAATATTTTATTAACAATACAGAGTAGTTGTTAATCCACAAAAAACCCTTTCAAATAATAAATTGAAAAGAATAATTTTTATAAATCCCGCCTTCTTATCCAAGATTGGAGGCGCCATCTATTATGAGAACGCTCAAACTTCTAGCCAAATAGTACTACGTTGTTTCCGCCAGGTTGCACCACCATATCAACTATCTCTGTCCTTCTCCCTCCTATAGAACTATCCTTATCTTTTCTTCCCCAGTATTGAAGGCGCCATCTATTATGAAAATGCTCAAACTTCTAGTAAATCGGCTGCCTGCTCCATATATAGGATTATGGCACTGGCGACTAGTGACATCTAACAATTGATGACATTTACCATAACCTATCAGAATATCAAAATATCAATTAAAGGTGCCAGAAATAATTATGTTTCGTGGACAGTATAACGTGAAGATGTTTATTAGATAATGGAACATTATTAAGATAAAATTATATTATTCTAATGTACAAGTTTTAACAAAGATATTTGTGCAAAATGAGTTCCTTGTATTTCTATGTAAACTTTTTAAGAGAATTGACAAAGTTAATGAAACACAATTACAATTATATACTTTTTTACATATTTATACATTATGTATTTTACAAACTTAAATGTTTAATTGATATAACACTTAAGTGGAAAGTGTTGGCCGCTCATGAATTTAAAGATATAGCGAAGCAATTTTATAACACAGAAGAGTTTTATATAGACTGCAATTCTTGTTTATTAGCAAATATAAAATGTTTTAAAATATCTACTCCAACTTGGTTTTATGTATGTTCTACGGTATCTTTCAAAAAGTACAAATTATTAGTTATACCGCTAAGTGATGCAAATATAAATGAAGTATTTGTAAATGAAATTGTTAAATATAACATAGAGAATGCACTTCAATGCACTGTTGACAATTGTTTTTTATGTAAGTATGGAATAAATATTTTTAAGAAAGAACTATTTACAATAATTATAATTACATTAATTTTATTTCAGTCCCAATAAAGGATAATACCATTAATTTTGCTACAGAAGCAAAAATTTCTATGGTTTCAAATTCCTATGAATACTCAAATGACTTGGTCACAGCTGCATTAGAAGATTATTTTTCTGAACCTAAATACTTGAGAAAAAATGATATATTTGCTATCGATTTGAAGGAACACATATATGATCAATTTTATTCGCACAGTAATCATTCATTGTCTGTGATATATTTTAAAGTTAATACTGTTAATGTAAAGAAAGATATGAATTGTACAGTTGGATGCAGTTGTTACATTTTACGTGGAGAGACAACGCTTATCCAAGAACCAGATGTACATAGTTTTTTACCTCAAAGGCATTCTTACCTTGATACCAAAGAGAATTTAATGGAATTATATCCATCAAGTTTTGCACAATTTTTAAAACGTTTAGAAGACTGCATCTTGCCGTTTATCAAATGTGGTAAGACCCTATCCTTAGCTGTATTGCTCCTTCAATTTTAAATGCATAACATGCTACAATTTTTACAGATATTAAATTACCCATAAGGCCCATATTTCTAATTAAGGGTTCACAAGGTTCCAATAAACGTAAACTAATTCAAACTGTATCAGAAAGACTGGGTTTAAATTTCCTTGCTACGGACTTGGCTGATGTTCAAGCTTTAACATCAGCACAGACTGAGGCTAAATTACGTATTGTACTGCATAATGCTAAACAAGCAGTGCCATGTATACTTTGTTTAAACAACATAGAAGTGTTTGGAAAAAATTCAGAAGGTCAGAAAGATGAAAGAATTATATCTACCTTCTCGGCAGAAGTGAATGCGTTGTATAACAAGCATTCAAAGTATCCAGTTATCATAGTTGCAACCACAAATGACTCTGACATACCAGCCGAACTAAACAGAATGTTCATCGAAACGATTCAAATGGAGCATTTAAATCAGAACAACAGAACAGATCTAATTGCATGGCTGCTGAAGAAACGGAAGTTAAATTACGAACTGAACCTACCAAAAATTGCAGGAATATGTTCAGACTTCAGATGCGCAGACTTGAACACGTTAATACTACATGCTGTAAAATTCGAATACAAACACACTGGTGCAGATTCAGACTCATTAAGACTGAGCCAAACAGATTTCGACAAAGCCTACGGTAACATTTCTCTATCACCACACTTTCTTCAATCAACCACATTATTTACACTTTCTTTTAAAATCAATTCACAGAATACATGCAGTCAACATACACCGACAGCAAAGGTGCACCACGTGTGCCAAAAGTTCATTGGGAAGACATAGGAGGCTTAGCAGAATTAAAGCACGAAATTATGCGCCGCATTCAACTGCCTCTCTTAAATGCTCTCGGTTTTGGCCAGTCCGGTTTACTTCTGTACGGACCACCCGGTACTGGCAAAACACTTCTGGCTAAGGCTGTCGCGACAGAATATCAGCTCCACTTTCTATCCGTCAAAGGTCCTGAGGTGCTCAACATGTACGTAGGTCAAAGTGAAAAGAACATCAGACAAGGTAAAGTCACTTAAGAACAATGATACACAATGGTCCACTGATCTTTCTTATTTTGGCTCATCAAAATTTCCTAATACCAATCACATTCCCACAGTATTTGAACGAGCAAGATCAGCAGCACCATGCATAATATTTTTCGACGAGCTGGACTCGCTGGCACCAAACCGTGGACGCAGCGGTGACAGCGGGGGAGTGATGGACCGCGTCGTGTCCCAGTTGCTGGCTGAAATGGATGGTCTCGACGGCTCCAATAACATATTCATCATAGGAGCCACCAACAGACCGGATCTCATAGATCCCGCGCTCCTAAGGCCCGGCCGATTCGACAAGCTGTTGTACGTGGGCATCCACTCCGACCGTGATTCCCAGCTGAAGGTGCTGGAGGCGTTGACTCGCAAATTCAAGTTACGCGAGAATGGTGAAGAGTTAGGGGAGCTCGTAGACCAACTGCCAGATCACACTACCGGCGCTGACCTATACTCTGTCTGTTCCAACGCATGGCTGAACGCCGCGCGCAAAGTGTTGAGCAAATACGACCAAACCTTGAAGAACCTCGAAGAGTCTACCTTGTGCAAGGTTGATTTGAACAAGTCTATTACCGTAGAGCTGGAGGACTTCTTACAAGCTGCCCGTGAACTAGTCCCCTCGGTCAGCAAGGAGGAGGCGGAGAGATACAAAAGAATGCAGACGGAATTGTCCTCGGTATCTTAACACTAAGACTACTAGAAGGGTCAAATGACCCATGATGTCTTTTTGCAATTATTAGAAAGACAAATGTTTCTCTGAGAAATGATTAAAGAAATTCATTTAGCACTGCGCAAACTGCATTGTAAATCAATTGAAGTCTGAACAGATGCACTCTTGGAGTTTCTATAGCGAAATTTTCAAAAGTCAATTGAAGTGCTCGGCAGTTTTAGTGTTAACGGATAAGCCATGGGTACAGTTGCTGAGAGCCAAGTTTGTCTATGGCTTACCGTTTGAGCGCTATGGGTCTTTGGAAAATCTTGGTGGCGATCGCGCTTCTTTCAGTTCAGAAACTGAATGACGCTTTTCTATTTTTATATGAAAACATTGTAAATAGCGCGATCGTTCCATTGTTCCTTTTCTAAGCAGGTAATGAGACAAATAAATAATTAAAAGGACAAGTAAATACAGTTAATCTGATTTTACGAACCAATAGTTGATAATACTATAATGCAAAGATTGTAACGCTAGATAGTGAATTGTTGCTACTTTTCTTTGCTACAAAGGATAACTGTACAGAAAAATCAAGATTTCCATGGCGCTTAACGCGTTAACCCCTTGCCGTACAATGAGCGATGAAGGTTTCTAAACTAATTTAACAAGAATCAATGTTCATTGCTCACGGTTCAAAGCAAACTATTTTGCTATTATCAATGTATTATCTTCAAATGAAATTTCCTGAAGTAGAATGGAAAATTGTATTTCTTACAAATTGCCGATAGTAAAATATACGAGCTCAGCAATGAAATAGTACGCCAAGGGGTTAAGTGAAGAGCAAAGGGAGACGACCACTCGCGACGCTCGACCGAATAGTAATGACAAAATTAACGCCACGTGTTTGTCATCGAGCCGCGAGGTCAAGCGTGCGGTCGAGTGTCCTTACCTTTCTCCACCTTCGAGCCACAGGTCGACTTGAGATCATGTCAACACATTGCGTACTGGTAACGAGAAATCTCGTTTTTATACGAAGACTCTTAATTATATAACTTTGCTATTTACCACAGCATTTAAAGAAACATTAAACTTGATTAGAACTGATTGTCCATTTAAAATATATTACATAACAATATAATACTTTACTTTTTTTATAGATAACGATATAAGTGGATCTCACTGAAAATCCGCGCAATTCAATTTTCCGATAATTAGCCGGTACGCGATGTGACAACAACGCGCTGCGCACGATCATCGTGTACGGGGGGAAAGATCTTTCGATATTATAAACGACAGTCGATCTTTTATTTCGGGAAATATGTAAAACAATTTTTACAACGAATAGTTCAATCATGGAAGGTAGATCTACGGTCTATCCCTAGATATTGCACCAAAACGGTTACTCTTAGACGCTAGTGCGTGACGAAGAACAGCAGCAGTGCCTGGTGGGTACCTATCATCATCATCCTCGAGGGCACGGTCCTTGAACGGTTCCATCTTTTTCTATCTTATCGACGATGCGTTACAATATTACACCGATCCGAAATATACAATGTAGAAAAATAGGACAGCTAAATTCACCGAGTGTCTATACCGGGCGTGACATTCAGTAACGAACGAATCGGGGGGTTTATACTTTACTGGGCGCGGTTTGTTCATTGTTTCCATGCAAGTGTCATAACGGTTCAAATAAAGGTGTACGTTCGCTCCATCGAAATGTGGTCAGTTTTCTTCCTAGAGGTTCTCGACAGCCGAAATCGCGGTTCCCTTGAATTTCCGCGATTCGTTACTGGGACAAAGGCCATTCGAAGTGGTGTGTGTACGTGTACTTTCGCGAGCCTGCAACTCGTGCCCCGATTCTTCGGTTCTCAATTGGGATCAATGTGGTTGCAGAGAGATTAACACTTTGCACTCGGAAGTTTCTTAGTGGGAATATTTTCTGACGAGGCGAAGGTGATCTTTGAAACTAAAATCGAAGAATTGCAAATTCATCGAGGAACAACGCTGTTTTATTCCAATGAGGCGTTATGCAGAGTTCATCGACCCCTTGCCCTATTCATTTCTCAACTGTGATCGATACAACTACTTTGTAATGAATAATTTATTGAGAACAGATTTAGAGGCATATTCTATGTCAATCTTTGCTCCAAGTATAATAATTAAAGTATTTCATTCGAAGTTAAACTTTGTATTACTATGTGAAATATTTAACTAAAATAGCTTTGTTGCTTAATTTATGTGTGAGTTATTGTTAAATTAGTTTCGAACAATATCACTTGTATCTTGTCGAAAAATGTTGAATATTTTCAGTGAGAAACTTTCGAGTGCAAAGGGTCAACTTCTTGCGCTCCAGAGGCTCCTCCGAGTCACCAAATGATTTGACACGGCAAAACTGTAAACTTTGATATTTAATATTGAACATATAACGCATCGATGTACGAAATATTGAAAGAAAATAGTTCTCTTCCTCGATGCATGAGATTTCTTAATTCAATCTGAGGAAATGTCGTATGTATCTCGTCAGAAAATAATGAATATTTATTGAGAAAAATATCCTCGAGCGCAAAGGGTTAAAACGATTGATCGCTTCGCTGGGAGCACGTGGTCGGGCTCGCGAATGATTCCTGATTTCACAGACGACGGTACCTTTGGTATGATGGCGAGGTAGGGATCGATTCCGACGCAACTACTTCGACGCGCTGAACCGTCCACGACTTCTTCTCTCTGTCAATACCAGCTAACTTATCGATTACGCGAGAAAAGGTGTTCGCAGATATATTATACGTTAGAATTTTATAATGGTTAATAATACAGATATGAATCGACACCGACAAAAGCCGCAGCGTTTGTTGGCGGGCCGGGGGTGGCAGGTGTTGCCGTTGTGAATGCGCATTAACACTAGGTTTACGGAACGCGTCGAATTGACGCATACTGGATTTTAGAAATATTATTTTGTAAACGTTTACGTCGATTTCGATTCATCGCACTGACATATACCCCGATTACCTACTATCGAATCTCCAGTTTCCACAATCTAGATAAACGAGCATCAATTCTTTTAGGAATGATAGAATCAAGTGTACAATAAATGCCCGTAAACCTAGTGTTAACCCTTTGCGGACGAAGATTCTTAGACAGACAAAACCTTTGACGGATGAAGCTGAATTATATCGACTGGTTAACATTATTTCTATCAAAGATGACAAAAGACAAGATTCGAAATTTTAACCCTTTGCACTCCAGAGGCGCCTCTAAGTCAAAGAGAGATTACACTGAGGAAACAATTTTAGTTTTAAACTTTCGAAAGCTGTCTATTGATACTATCGATAGAAATAGTGTTAATTAATATATAAAAAAGAAATTACACGTTGATTATGATTAAAAAAAAATGTCCAAAATTCAATTGAGGGGAGATTACGCTGAGGAAACAATTTTAATTTTAAACTTTCGAAAGCTGTCTATTGATACTATCGATAGAAATAGCGTTAATTAATACATAAAAAAGAAATGACACGTTGATCTGTTACTATTCGAGTAATTAAATCATTCGTTTGCGACTTAGTCCGTCGAATACGAATATTTCATCTCTCGTTCGTCCGCAAAGGGTTGAAACTAGTCTCGCGAGAGAGAGAAAACTTTAAGAATAAGAGTATTCCTTTCCTTTTATTCTTGAATCGTTCTATAAACCATGTCCATTGAAAAGTTTCATAAAGTAAGACGTATCTTTCGTCGATTAATCGTTAACCTGTTCACTGTAGTCCGACCTTCGGACCGCTGATGTCTATCTAGGCACTTTGACGAATAAATAATAATTAATCCGACGAAGAGAGTCGGTTGCGATAAACTCGAATACAACGAAGTTCTCACTTCGACGCGATAAGACATGACAGTCGTCGGTGAAATAAAATCGAGAATAACACTATTAATCACCGAAAGACAGGTCAACAGGTTAACACGAAAGGATCGTCGCCCAAGCGGATACGCCTGGCTGATTCGCGAGCGGTTCGGTTCGTCCCGATTGTTCTTTATTAAATTAATATTCGTCTCCTTTACTGAACTACAGAAAACGTGATTACTTTAAATACTTTTAATCCTTCTTCTTCTTCCTCTTCCTCTTCTTCCTCTTCTATTTTTTTGTGCCTTTTCGTATTTTCGCCTCTACACGTGGATCACTAATTACCGGGTTTCGTTTCTTTTGTATCGATAGATTTATTTAGTGCGTTTCAGGATAGCTTCGCGTACGTAAGTACACACGTACGTTAACATAAGTATCACATTCGATAAATACGCTAATCGGTGCGCGCGACGTAACAAAAGAAATCGAGAAAATCCCGTGCGAACTCGGTCCTAGGAAGCACGTGAACCTCAAATGATATTTCTTCTGCTTCGGTTTAATAAAAGGGTAGAGGTGGTGGGGAAACTATCAGCTTCAACCCTTAAACGCCTGAGGTCGAGTCTCGGGGACTCCGCGGAACTTCTTGAACATATGATAGTCCGACTACTATATACGCGATACAAATATAGTTTGAACGGTGCTACTTAGTTTAAATATACACGCTAGATTGGTTCGAGTGCTCGGGTTACGGAAAAGTCGTCGAAATCCCCATTGTGCGAGAGAAAAGAGACTAGGGTAAGATTAAAACGTTCACCTCGGCAGTTAAGGGTTAAATATATGTTTTTCCTTTATCGTGAGAACGTAACGGATATTCCTCTCTTCGGTGATAAATGGCGAGGAACAGGAATATCGGGGGGATTCTGTTACAATCAGCCTACGCGTAGATATTTTGGCCACTGTACACACTTACTTAGATGCATGCGACTCACTGTGTTTCCTTACGAACGTGTACATATACTTGAAAGATAACGACACCGTGACTCGACAGCCAGTCGGCTAAGAATATAAGTTCGCTCGTAATCCTACGAGCAAGGATCATTGTCATGACAGTAGAAAAAATCACACTTCACTTCTGAAACTCTTCGAACGACTGTCCTGAGTCCCAACACGTCCATGGTCCCGCCGAATTTAATCTATCGCTGTATCGTTACCTCTAAGTATACTCCTTTTTCGTTACCGTGTTAAGTATACGAATGAAATACGTAATTAGTGTATATGCGAAAAATTGAAAGCTACGAGGGGGGGAGAATGGTCGAGTGAAATCGCTCCATCGGTCGATCGCGGTTAAAACGAAATACTTTGTACTCGGCGGTCGTGAACTTGCTCGCGAAGTTCAACGTTCACATCACTCTTACTTACAATTACTCGTCGCGGTCATAAGTCTCCTTTCTGTTTATTTATTTATTTGTTTCTTTCTTTGTTTCTTCTTCTCTTCGTTCCTCTTTGTCGAGAAAGAAATACACTGGTACCTCTGAGCATCTTAATGTTCACAGTGACGAGACTTAAAGGGACCACTAGAATGCGTGGAAAAATAATTCACGCAGTTGACTTTCTCGAGGCAAACTTTTGGGGACACGTTGCCCGTGGCTAACTCGTAAGGGAATTATTATTTGTTTCATTTCTGGTGCCCGGGATGCGCAATTGCTCGTGGAATCAAGGATTCCCGAGGCCCGGGAATCGGTTCGCACCCTCGGTTAAGGGTCAATCAATTTTACACGCCTCTGCGCGCAAGGTAGGCCAGTTACGACCCCTCTGTGTTCAACCCTGGAACAAAAAGAAAAGCAAATGATCGAGATGATACCTCTGCGTCTCGGCGACGAAGAATGGTGCTACTCTCTTCTCTACGATTATCGAGTTCATTAACTTGTTTACGTATCTGTTTCTACTAGATTGGTGTATATGAACTGTCGCATTCGAAACTACCCGACCGCACTCGTTGAGCTCAGCCGCGACACTGGTAATTACCGCAATCACTATGCTCGACTGTTCCTTTTCGAGGAAAAGGAGGGGGCCAATTCATATTTACCAATCCAATATCAGAGGACCACTACTGATTCAAGAGTATCATGGATAGATGGATGTATCGTTGATCATTACATATTTTTTTTTCTAGGTTGACATGATTTCAAGG